AGGAGTTCAATGTATTTGATTGAATTTGTTCTGTATTTGCATTCCAGCTCTTTCAACTTATTTGAGAACATATTCTAGAGAATTGGATATAGTTGAATCCTGTTTTCAGATAATTATATTTATTATGTATTTACATTTACTAAATTTGTAAGGTCATCTGACTCCAACAGTTTGGTGGCCAACAAAAAACAAAAACAAAGAATAAATTAAGGCAAGATAAAAATCTAATAATAATTTTAAAAGCCCCAAATATTAATTTATTATTGCAATTTATGTAGTTCTCTCTGTGTGTGTTGTTTTGTATTGTTTTGTATTTGTTGTTTTATTGTTGGCATTTTGGGGGCTGCTTACTTAGTTGCTGTGGACCATATGGCTCACAGCAAATAAGCAGCAACACAAACAGAAAAATAAAAACATCTATATAATGACACAATTTTTAGGGAGGGTATACCAAAGACCAGCAACTGTCAAAATAGTAACAGGTTCTACCACAAGCAGATGGCAAAACCAAGTCTTTAAAACCTAACAAAAAGTCAGGAAAGGGCTGAGGCCAATCTGATCTCTTGGGAGATGATATTCCAACAGAAAAGGCTCTTTTCCTGGGTTCCGCCAGCTGGCATTCCCTAGCAGATGGGACTGGGAACATGCCTCTCCTACAAGATCTCTCCTACCAGGAGAAGCAGTCCCTCAAGTAATATAACATAAAATGGCAACCAAATGCAATAATACAAACAAAACAGGAATCTGAACTTAAATGCTTGAAGGGGGAAAAAGCTAGTCTTAAGCAGAATTGAGGCCTTATGTATTTGCCATAGTGACTATGAACCCTTAGGTTGTCCCAGAATGTTGGTTAGGATATGGATATTGATCCTTAGGAATAGCCATAGCACTTAGACTTATATACTACTTTATAGTGTTTTCAGCCCTCTCTAAGTGGTTTTACAGAGTCAGCATATTGTCCCCAACAATCTGGGTCTTCATTTTACCTACCTCAGAAGGATGGAAAGCTGAGTCAACCTGCAGCCTGGTGGGATTTGAACTGCTAAATTGCAGGCAGCCAGTAGTCAGCTGAGGTGGCCTGGAGTACAGCACTCTAACCACTGCATCACCAAGTCTCTTAAGTCATATATGTTCAGCAATAACTCATGGACCACCTTTGCCAATTTTGGCAGAGAGAATGCTTGGTTAAAAAGGATAAATAACACATATAAACCTTGCATATGTCATATAGTAGGGTAACAACATATCCAAGTTGATCCATGAGCCCATCTGGCAGAACAACTGTAACTATGACCACAGATTGTGCTTCTCTTCAACTAGTTTGCGTGTGACATATCTCCTACTGCATGTCCATCTCTATGTAGTCCATCTACTCTTCAACAGGCACCATCATTCCCTAATCACCAGGAAGGTAGACTTAGTTATGGATAGAATCAAAGTCACCAGCAAACAGATGAGGAACCAGAACAGTCACAATCTCATTTTCTCAGCTCACATTTATTTCTTTGAATTATATTGATTTCCAATTAAAGAAGCCTATGGCAAATTCCTCTATTTAAATTTTAAAACATTCTTGTCCAGCAATGTGCTAATGGATATCACAGATGTTGTTTTCCATGATTTGATTTCAAGCAAATACCATCAGCATATTTTCATCAGCTACAGATAAGAAAAACAATATATTTCTCTATTCTTGTGCTAGTAGTAGTTAAACATGCATACAGCTTATTTTGTAATTCCCTCTTTGCTTCACAATCATGTCTGATGTTTTTAAGTGTGCTAACTATTAATTTCTGCATCAAGTTAGTCGGGGAATCTGACCAGACAAATCAGGAATAACTTAAGAATAGTATTAGATGTTTTAGAATTTTACGAAGCCCACCCTGAAAAACAAATTGCACTTACGTTTTTAGATGCAGAGAAGGCCTTCGATAATTTAAATTGGCAATTTTTAATCCAAAAAAATTATAATATGAATTTAGGCAACAAATTTGAAAATATTATAACAACCATTTATGATACACAACAGGTGAACATTATAATAAACGGGGAATATACCCGCCCAATAGAAAAAGGAATCAGACAGGGCTGCCCACTCTCACCCCTGCTCTTCATATTATCACTAGAAGCATTACTAACGTGAATTAGACAGAACTCAGACATAAAAGGATTAAAGGTTAAGAAAGAAGAATATAAATTGCAAGCATTTGAGGATTATATGATTTTTTTCATTGAAGAACCAATAGAAAGAGGACAAAAATTGATGAATGAATTAGAACAATTTGGAGCAGTAGCAGGACTAAAAATTAATAGGAAGAAAACAAAATTAATGACCAAAAATTTAACAGAAAAACAGAATTTAGAACTAGAAGAAGTTATGGGAATACAAGTGATAAACTTAAATACTTAGGAATATGGTTGACAGCACATTATAAGACACTTAAGAAAAATAATTATGATAAATTGATGCAACAGGTAAAGAAGGATTTAGAAACATGAGGCAAGCTGCAACTTTCATTATTAGGCAGGATCGCTGCTATTAAAATGAATATTCTTCCAAAATTCCTCTGTATATTTCAGATGATCCCAATCAAAGTATACAATTTTTTTTTTGAAGAACTTAATAAAATAACTGTAAAATTCATCTGGCAAGAGAAAAAAACCTAGAATAAACGTAAGGCCAATGCAGGATATGAAGAGCAGGGGTGGGCTGGCACTTCCAAATTGGGAGTTGTATTATAGTGCAGCCTCTTTAGTATGGTTGAAGGAATGGGTGAATTTAACCAATAAGAGAATATTATTCTTAGAAGGCCATGACTTACAGAGGGGGTAGCATGCTTTTTTATGGGATGTTGGGAAAACTAGCCAGAAATATTTTCACAGACACCTAATCAGAGATTCATTATTGACTAATTGGAAGAAAATACGGAAAAAACACTATTTAAAAATACCAATTTGGATCTCAACAATGGAGGCGATGATTCACCCAAATAATCTGTATATTACTAAAATGATTAAATATAAGGACCTATTGGATATGCAAGGCAATCTGAAATCGTGGCAAGTCTTTCAAGATTGGGGATTAAAAATTGATCAGTGGGCATATCTTCAAATTCAAAGTAGATATAAACAGGACAAGAAAGAATTTGGAATTAACAATAAATTCCAGCAATTAGATAAAATTTTATTAGGATCAGGCAAAAAATATATAACAAAATTTTATAATTATTTATTAGAAATAGAATTAGAAGAAGAAATTGTAAAAGGGAACATGATAGCCTGGAGGAGGAATATAGGATGTAGTATCACCAAGTTAGTCGGGGAATCATCTAGATCCAGAAATGCACTTGCTAAAGTCAAAGTCAAAAGTACCAGCAAGACTATCTTTAGAAGAGTACTCTAACCTAAGTTATGCAGGAATAGCTCCTTTATATACAACTTGGGCAACTTTAAGTTGTGTGGACTTCAGCTCCAGAGTTCACCAGCTGAAGTGAACCTAACTTGAAGTTGCCAAGATTGAAAAACACTGACCTAGATGATTGGGCAATAAACACTACAACAATAAAGATTCTAGAATGGAAAGAAATTGCAGTTTAGATTAGATTGTATCTAAACTTGTATTCTAGCAATAGAGGAAGTTATGAGGGCATCAGTGCTGGTAGGGTTGCCGAGTGGTAGTTATTAGTTGCCACAGTTGGGCAAAATAGAAGCTGTAAATTAATTAATCTGGAAATAATTTATTCTTGAATTTTTATATTGTTTTAAGGAATGCATTTTAACGCAAATATTCTAAATATAGTTTGGGATGAATTAATTTTAATTTTTCATTCCTCTTTTGAGCTTTCAGTTTTTAGGATCCACTAAGACAGAAATGAGTAATTCTATAGAAACAAAGACTTGAAGACATTGGCCAAGTTTATTCAACATGCTAATGTGTTTTGCTTAAAACTAAACATTATGATTTGTAAGTTATAATTAATGCTTTAATGCATTGTGTCAAACTAGCTGATTTTAGTAAGTTATGATGAAACCATGAAGAGTGGAGAAAGTAAGTGGCATTAGATGGCTGGAAAGGCAACCTTTGCCCACTCAGCATAAAAACCCACTTTTCATTTTAAATCTTTGGCAGAGATCCTTCACTAAGGGAGACCTCTTCAGAAGATATAAGATATATATTATATATCATAAATATGTATATGATTTGAGTCAAGGCTGTACAAATTTACTGGACTAATTACAGCAGATCTAGAATTTGCATGGCTTAGATTTCAAACTTTTGAAATCACAAGGAAAAAATATGCTGAATATATTTGAATAAATAAGCCCTGTAAGAAAATTGTAATATGCACCTGCAGATATTCTTGAACAGGGCTGTCAAACTCAAGGCTGCGGGCTAAATCAGGCCCATGGGGTGCTTAGATCTGGCCCATGGGGCTGCCCTGGAAACAGCAAAGGATTGGCCCCGGTGCCTCTGCCAGCAAAAATTAAGCTTGGAGAGGCCTCCTGGGCTCTATTCGTGGCCTCCCTGAGTTACACTTTCACTGGCAGAGGGCTGCAGGAGGCCACCATGGCCAAAAATGGAACCTGAGTGGGCCGCATGGGACCTCTCCAAGCTCAGTTTTTGTTGGCAGAAGGTTGCAAGAGGCCGTCATGACTGAAAATGGAGCCTCAGTGAGTGATGTCAAACTGGTCACACCCACCCCAGTCACACACACACCTCAGCCACTTGAGGTTAAACACAACCCTGATGAAATTGAGTTTGGCAGTCCTGTTCTGGAAGGAAGAAAAATGACTATATTTTCTGAAGTTTCTATAAACAATTATTCAGTCATTTGAAGGAAATACATTGTAGGCTACTATCCCAAGACTCCTTACTGTTTAAAATTGGACTACTGTTATCTGAATAAAACACAATTTGCTTAGTGCTAGTTCCTGTTGTTTTTCTCCTGCTCTCCCAATGCAATATTAATTGCTCCATTGCTTGTTTACTTGCTTTCTAGCTTCAGCACAACAGTCAGATGAAGGATCTGACATTGATTCTGAGCCAGATTTGCCACTGAAGAGAAAGCAACGACGAAGCAGAACCACTTTCACAGCTGAACAATTAGAGGAGCTGGAGAGAGCTTTTGAGAGGACTCATTATCCTGACATTTACACCAGAGAGGAACTTGCACAAAGAGCTAAACTCACGGAGGCTCGGGTTCAGGTGAATATTATCCTAAAAATTCCAAACAGCCTTCTTTTATTAGTTGTGTGGGGGAACAAATGTTTCTTTTATGAAGATTTTTTTCTTCTTGGTGAAGAATGACGAGATAAGTTATATTGCAAGTCTGTGATTTATTCTGAGGAGTTATCAGAACATTTGGTAGTGCTGAAAGAAGCTCTTCAGACTGCACATTTCATGCATAATTTATTTAAGTAACTGGTCGGGGTAAGAAAATCAGTGTGATTTATATTTTGAAATACATTGGACATAAAAACACAAAAATACATAAAATACATAAAAAATACATAAAATACATAAAAACAGATCATTAAATATATTGGCATGTTTCAGATATTGAAACTGAAAATTAAATTGACTATGCCTAAAAATTAACTACTAAAAAAACTGCAAATCTGGACTCCATACTTTAAATATTTGCATATTCAGTTCTGGGATATCTACTTTAAAGAGGATCATCAACATTCATATTTTTCTAATCCAGTGACTCACAGCTACAAGAAAAGCAGAAGTCTCATGAACATAACAGCTGTCTTAATGTGGCTTTAACCCTGTGACATTTTACATTCCTTACGTTTTTTTTGGTTCCCTTGAGACACATTGTGTCTCACACTCACTCCTGTGATCTAGCAAAATTTCTACTGTGTAGAACATATGGACTTTTCCCTTAAAACAGCACAAAGAAAGGAGAGGAACAACCACAATCAATCAATGGTTAAAATATCAGAGAGGGTGAACTTTTGGGAATTAAAAGGAGACCGGGGAATTTAAGTGCCACTTGTCTGTCCTTTGCACCATTGAAATAGAAAAAAACTCCAGGGAACTCTTGACTCTATCTTCCCAATCACCATACCTCAAATGTTCTCAGTCACATTTCTGCTTAAATCTTGGTGCTTCTGTAGTCACATAAATGCTTCAATTCATACTTAAGGAAATTCTAAAGTTGTAGTCAGAACAGAGTTATCTGCAAGTAAACAGTGGTTCAAAAAAGGCCTGCATTTTCTGAATGTCGATTATTTGAAATATATCCAGTTTTACAGAAAGGTTTACATTAATGATGGCAAACCAGTGGAATATAGCTAAGAAAGAGGCAGGTAAGAAAGTATGTACATAAAGATAGATGTATTAATCTGATTGTTATGATACTTATGATTGTTAAAAAAAAAGAAAAACATTCTGGAAAAAGCGAATTGCTGAATAAATAAATGGAGCCAAATGCTGTTGAGCAAGGATTTTTTTGGAATAAGGAATAAAATGCACTTCAACCAATCTCTTGCCCATCCAAAAAATACAGAAGTGTAAATTGCTGCAGCAAGATTATTGGGATAGCTCTTTGAGGTGGCCAGTGTGACAAATATTCTCTTACTCCTTTTAAAACTTTAACAACAACTGGCTGTCAAATACCAGGTGACCCATACAGTAGTTCTTAACATGATTACAATTTGGATCAGAACTTCTGTTGCTATGGCATGGTAGATAAGTTGTGTATAATTTTATCACCTCTTTTGCTGCAGTCATTAAGCAAATCATATAGCTATTACGTGCATCTGGGTTCCTGCTTTGATATTGCTTGTTGGAAACCCCTAGAAAGATTGCAAACAGTGATCACGTGAATCTGGGATAGCTGCACCGAAATTTACAGAGAAGTATTTTGAGAGTTTATGGTGCAAAGTATTTTTTGATTTTTGCATACCATTTCCAGGATTAACATTTAGTGATGACCATTTAATTCTTGTTACAGTTCATCACTGTGCCAGAAAGTGTTCTGAATTTCTCTGTGCAAGTTTTCTCATATCAAAACTATTTTACCTTCAATCAGTTGGTGCTTTGCTTCTTGGTTATTTAAGTTCTAGTCACACACAAGAAATCCAAGCTTCTGATCTTAAATATATTTCACATAATGAAGACAATTAAGCAATGTTTTATTTATAATTTAGGACAGTGTTTCTCAACTTTAGCAACTTTAAGAGCTGTGGACTTCAACTCCCAGAATTCCACAGCCAGCATGATCAGATAAATATTTTTCTTAATAGTGAATTGCTGTAGCAAAATTCCTTGTGAAAAACAGTACAGGCATTTCAATGAGTTTGGATGCATCAGTCCAATGTATTCAGTTTTGGAATGGAACAGACTAGATGACCTTGCAGATGATTTCCAACTCAATTTCCCAATATTTACATTTTTTCTCTTTGTTATCATTTTTCTCTGAAGTAGTTTATAACTGGACAAGGCAAGATCTTATTCTCTTGATGCTGGCCGGGTATCCTTTCAAAGCTGTGGTTCTTCCCCCAGGCTTAAATTCGTGAAATTGGCCGTGACATTTCAACCGCCTTATCCTAAACAAAAAATTACCAATGTGCTTTTAAGGGAACAAGATCTCTCATTCAAATAGGCAAAATGTTTGAAAAGAGAATTTATCAAGACAATAGAGGATAGTTTCCTCTAAACAGAGCCTGAGCTTTACAAGGATGAATGCCAAATATGCACTAAATCAAAAGACTAGTGCATTGATAGAGACACATCTAATTTAAGCCAGAAAATGTACCTCCCTCTTTGCTGTAATGCTGTATATCTGAAGTATTTATTTAATTTTAGGTTGGTTCAGTGGCCATGAAAGAAATGACAGGGGCGGGGGGAAGCAAAAGATTGGAAGTAATAGAAATTAAAGGATGGAAGGATATGAACAAAACAGGCAAGGAGGAAATTATGGAATTTTGGGTAAGAGGAAAAACAAAATTAGGAAATTTGCCACTGCAATAGTATCACAAAGGTAGCACAAAAATACACACAGACATAAACATACCCCAATACAAACAATATAACAATCGCCCCATCATCTCCTTTGTGATTATTTTGCCGAGATAGCCCCATGACTCTAAGTGTGTGTGTGTGTGTGTGTGTGTGTGTGTGTGTGTGTGTGTGTGTTTCCCAGTCTGGTGCTCTCCCACCATGATGCTCTTATTCTCATATCATTCCATGCCTTTGATTGACAATTTGACAATTGCCCTTTTAGAAAATTGTACAAGAATAAATATCACTAAATCACTGCAAGATATAGGGAATCATGGTCTACATATGGACAAGGATGTGTATCAGATAAAAGTTTGCCTCTTTTCAATGTTGCTATGCTGTTGTTATGCTTTAATTAGCAATGGATCTCCCACCTTCATATCGGTCCAATTAACTTTTCAGAACAATCTTTAACTGGAGGGCATGCCTTTGTATGCTGAAAGATGGGGCTGAGGAATGAATGGAAAGAAATGTGTTTCAGGGCTTGTATTCACTGGTTGCTCATTTTCATATACTTGGAAGGAAACATAGCAGTACTTCCTTTGTTGTGAAGAATATGTATACCATCCCTGTCATTAACCATAATGAAATGATTGGTGCATGAAAAAGAAAGTAGTGACAAGAGAGTGGCAAATGGTATGCCAGTAAAGAGTGCTGTCCTGTATTAGTAAGATTCAATTTTGAGTCCATAAATAGAATAATAGTGATGCATAATCTTGTCTTTTATATCAGCACTAGAAATATCTTGAGGCAGTACTGTGAATGTGACAAAACATGGTGCTAAGAAATTGGTCCTTTAAATCACAACCTGGATATTTTGTTATCTATTTCAATAGCACAAAGTTGAGCATAAATATTAGTAGGGAAAAAGTGAAACATCACCTGAAATCAGAAAGGTATGTCCTGAATTGGAAACAAATTGGAAATTTGTTCTTCCAACTAAAATTGGTCAATTTAAAAACACCAAGGAAATCTCTCTTTTTATTTTAAGAAAAGGCAAGCTTTCTTAATGAGAAAATATAATAAAAATATGGCAATTAATTAAAAATGATTACTTTTATGAGGGTAATGAAAATAGTTAAATCAATAGAATACCTGAATACTATTGACAGGCAAATTAAAATAATAATTACTATTGACAGGAAAATTAACATAATAATTACAACTAGAATAAAATGTCCAGTTAAATAGAAGAACCTTCACAGCACAAAAAATAAACATGGAAGGAACCTTAATGGAGTGTATTTAATACTGAATAGGCTGAATAGATTAGGCTTTTTCACATGCCACAACTAACTTATCACCAATTCACTTCAGGATAAGGCTGCCTTTATAAAATATTAGGATAAATATCTAGAATAGAATAGATGCAGCTTAGGTATGTGATAAGACAGCATCTTGAAACCAAAGGTCTATGTAGATTTCAGTCATCCAGGTCATAGTTGTCTCAAAGGTGGTTTTTCAAAAGGCAACTGGACTGTTTTTTCCTTGAGGAAAAAGAATGGATGAACAGAATGAGCAACCTTGACAGAATTGATGAAGCTTCTTGCCTTCATTGGCCAACAACAACAACAACTTCTTCCTCTTCTTCCTCCTGGAGAAAGTTCATCTGGCCCTTGAAAAAGCAACTTTGAGACATCTTGAAACCAAGGCAAATAAGATGAAGAAGGTTTTATGGATACTAACTAGCTTTTGAGGTAAAGCTGATATGTTTAATAATTAGTATAATTGTCCATACTCTACTCATTCAGCTATGTCCAGTGACACTTAATTCTGAATTAGTTAAAAATTTCATAAACCTTTCAGTTATAATCTAATCCAATGCAAGTAAGATATATATCAATATAGTCTGACAAATACTGAATGCATTTCCAAATGATTTAAGCTATTTTCAACTATTTCTAGGTTTGGTTTAGCAATCGTCGAGCCAGATGGAGGAAGCAAGCTGGGGCCAATCAATTGATGGCTTTCAATCACTTGATTCCAGGAGGTTTCCCACCCTCTGCCATGCCAACTCTGCCAACTTATCAGTTATCAGAATCTTCCTATCAGCCTACTTCTATTCCACAAGGTAGACTTGATAGATTATTTTGAAGTGTACTTTTATATATTATTCATTCCTCTGCAGTTCTGAATCTCTGAAAATCATTATAATTACCTCTCCATAAATGTTTACACTGGTTCCAGTGGATCAGCATTAACATGGAAGATGAAATCTGGAAATCAGTTTCAGATGTTCCTCCTTTCCAATTGGAGAACATGTAGATGCATGGCTAGGAATGAACATTATTGTATTTCCATATGTTTGGAGAGTTATGAATTGTAGCTTAATCAAGTTCATCACCCATTCTGGTCCATCATTGAAGGTAACTGTTTTATAATGGTAAATGCCACGTTTAATGTTGACTCCAAGAATAAATTCTGACAAGAGTTGGATATAATATTTGAGCAGACAAAAGCCAGACTGGAATTTGAAGTCCTGAAACTTTATTAAGCAATCATGTACTTTATTATAGAAAACTTAAAATCAGTTGTTGTCATGGATTCTGTTGTTTAAACAAAGAATTTTGAATTATAGCTGAGAAAACTCAGAGTTTTGAATCCACTGTTAGAAGTTCATTAAACATGAGTTCTTACAGTCTCATAATTTACTGATGAAGTCTTAAAGTTACTTGGAACCACATGAAAGTGATCAATCTGAGAGTTTCCTAAATTAATGACTTCCTTTCCAAAGTTTGATGATTTATATTTCTTTATACTATGTTAATTATCTCAAAAGTTTGATAAGTTTCCTTAAAACTTCAATGTGTACTCCTAATGCTTTTGTTATTGGTCTTCCTTCTGTGTTTCCTTCTTCCTATTTCTCCTTCCCTTGCATCACTTATTAACGTTTAAAAACTGTTTTCCTGACTCAAGCCATGTGTAAGGAAATGAAGTGCAAGGGGGAAGTAGGGCATGTAAGAAACAAAAATATGACTTAAATCACCAAAACCGGTTCTTCCATTATAGTCCAAGTGATCCTGAGAATGAGTTTGGCTAAGTTTGAACAAGCTAAACCAAACGGAATATACTGCATCATGGCTTTACACATGATGTGTACTCAACCACTGAATAGTTTTGAACATTGGGAACTGATCTGGTGAACCTTTCTATGATCTATGGTTGGCTTTTGAATGGGAAAATGAGAAGATTCATACCTGTGTCCCTTTTCATTGCAGCTGTGTCAGACCCAAGCAGTACAGTTCACCGACCTCAGCCTCTTCCACCAAGCACGGTACACCAAAGCAGCCTCCCTTCAAATCCAGACAGCAGCTCTGCCTACTGCCTACCAAGCACAAGGCATGGCTTTTCCAGCTATACAGACAGCTTTGTGCCTCCATCCGGGCCCTCAAATCCTATGAACCCTGCCATTGGCAATGGCCTTTCACCTCAGGTCAGTCCTGCTTTTTCAGACACAGGATTTGCTATATACCCAAACTAAATTGTCTGTTCCCCAAGGCCATCATACAATGATTTGCCAAATTTAAACCATAAAGTATTCTTCATATAAGCCACATGATTTCAGTTTGCTAGTTTCCTCCTTCCTCCTTTTTCTACTGACAGAATCAAAAGTCATAGCTTATATTTAGTTTAAGGCAATGTTTCATAATGCAATCCCAAAGCCTTTTTGCTTGTATTCAGTTGTCAGGCATGTTTGATGTGGTGCTTTTCCATAATATATATTTTTAAAGTTGATTTCTTTCCTTTCCCTTCCTTGCCTTTAAAAAAACCTCTCCAGAGTCATTGATTTTGGTTTTGAGTCTTTATTATGAAAATAATGAAAAAGATATGTACTGTTTAAATTTAACCTTAGGAGTAGGTTTTGCTCATTACCTCAGCTGATGAGCAATCCACTTTAAACTGAGCTATAATCCAATTATGAATACATAAATTAAGAGCATTACTGCTCTCAAGAAGCTTATAATGACTTGAAGGACATAATTGTTTTCCTAATTTGCATGAGCTTTTCTTGGATGATCATGTTAATAAATTGCCTTGATAATTGAGTGCCAGAAAAGGTTGGTTAAACTTCCTATTTCTGGCCCAAGTATTCAGCTTGATATTATTAGTTTCAGGTAAAATATTCTGTAGCTTATTCTATTAGTTAGATTTAGCACAGGTGTTTTGGAGAGGTATCTACTGAATTTTGAGCAATGTTACAGAATTGGGGGGGAGGAAGCAATCTATAATTACAATCAGGAAATCTCTTCAGGGATGTGAGAATTTTAACAGCTTTATTTTCTTTCTGCTCTTTCTCTGTGGGGTTAAAAAAAACAGAAGGAAGCTCGGAATGACACAAATGAAAAGTGAAAAGACAATTATACTGAATTACACACTAATCACTGACTATCACCACTGCGTAAGCAGTAAGAGGGCATTCTAATAGGCAGAAAATGAGATTTTAATAGCACAAAGGGTGGCCAAAATAACGACTCCTATATCTTTCGCTTTTTTCATTTTCTGCAACTTGAGGTCTGCATCTCCAGAGCACACTTCCTGGTTTCTGTATCATGGTGATAACTGTGTGCAGCTGAAGAGTTCAAAGGCAATAGAGTTGAAAAGGATGAATAGCAAAGGCAATGAAATAAACATTTTTGCCTAAAGGCAAAAGTTCATAAACTCTTTTTTTGTAACAGTAAATGTAATTAAGTTTCAGTGATTCCTATAGCACATAGTGGGATACAAAACTGTATGGCTTTAGACCTTAGCAAAAGAAAGATAGGCTTCCATTTGAAAAAAAGTTGATATATTTTTCAGTAACACTTTAATACAGGGTTTTCAAGATTTTCAATGTCTAAGTGTAGTCTTTAACAAAAGGCTTGACATTTTATGATGCTGCAATGATCCCATAATTTCTGGCATTAGAATCAAACATTGTTGACAATTAATGTCTTAATGTTTTCTTTTTTAATAGAAACAAAATTATTAAGTTGTGAAAGAGCAATGGAAACGTTCAGTGATAGTGGATCTATTATAGTTAATGTCCCTGATATTCCACTAAATAAGCCAACCACACAATATTTTGATAACTAAATTGGCATCTGGGAGTTAGTAAAATGGAACATTCTGGAGCTCTGTGCTTAAGAAATACAGTTTGCATACAAAAGACATATTTAAGAATTTACTGCTATGAATATAGCCAAGGAGTGATTGTGATACTTTTTCAGATGTTGATTGCACAACTAGTTTGAGAAGGTACTATATTCAATACAAAACATCAGAAGTCTGCTTTTGGCAGTGATAGAGATTATTAAATTGAATATCCACATAAGCATACATACAATCCACTCATAAAAACTAACGTGATAATGTTGAAGTAAGATGTTGATTCTGGAACATTAAAGTTTGAAACTTTAAAACCTCCATCATTGCCAGTTATTTGTTTTTTTCAAAGATTCTTGATGCCAACATTTTGAATCTATTTCCAGTTTGAATTCAGGCACTAAATGAAACCACCTGGGTGAAATCATAGTATAGCTTATTTAAAGTTGAGGTAAAACTAGGTTTCATAGAATATTGAGTTAGAAAAGACAATTTTGCGTTTGCAAAAATTGTAGATACATGTGTGTGTGTGTGTGTGTGTGTGTGATTTTTGTGTCTTTCTTTCTCTGTCTCACTGTGTGTGTGTGTGTGTGTGTGTGTGTGTGTGTGTGTGTATGCAGCTTCCTCACAGTCTCTCCCAAGGAGAGACTTCATGAGGCAATTCATTTATTATGATTACGGTTTTGTTGTTAGTTGCAAAGTCATGTCCAACCCATCACGACCCCATCGACAACATTCCTCCAGGCCTTCCTGTTCTTTACCATCCCCCAGAGTCCATTTAAGTCCATGTTGACTACTTCAGTGACTCCATCCAGCCACTCATTCTCTGTTCTCTTCTTCTTTTGCCCTCAATCTTTCTCAGCATTAGGCTCTTCTCCAGTGAGTCCTTCCTTCTCATTAGGAAGCCAAAGTATTTGAGTTTCATCTTCAGGATCTGGACTTCTAAAGAGCAGTCAGGGTTGATCTCCTGTAGGACTGACCAGTTTGATCACCTTGTAGTCCAAGGGACTCACAGGAGTCTTCTCCAGCACCAGAGTTCAAAGGCCTCCATTCTTTGGCGCTCAGCCTTTCTTATGGTCCAACTTTCACAGCCATACAATGCAACTGGGAAAAACATAGCCTTGACTATAGACACTTTTGTTGGCAGGTTGATGTCTTTGCTTTTTAGTATGCTGTCTAGATTCATCATAACTTTCCTCCCCAGGAGCAGAGCATTATGGTACTAATTACTAAAAGGGACAGAATCTTGTTGAAAAATTTCTTCTTTCCCTGAAAACATTAAAATAAATAATCTGTCCAATTTTTCTGCCCACAGTTTGGGGAGAAGAAATTTGAAGTCAGATAATTTTCAGAGTGATGAAAAGATATGCAATATTAAAAACAGTGCCAGCAGTAGTACCCTCTCTCATATCTATTAATTAAAAATGCAAAAAAAAAAAACTATAAAGAAGTTTTCAAGCTTTGAAAATATTTCTTTTGGGGGTGGGGGCAACTTTGAGAAATTGCAAGAGAGATTTTGGGCCTGTACCACATTAGAACAAAGTATCTCTTAATCTGTACTGAAAGAATGAGCAAGAATTCAGCTGAGTTCTAAAGCTGTACATCTCAACTTCCTTCAGATTTAGAGCAAATCTGTATTTCTCATCAGGTTGACTGATTCTTTTTCTGGTGTCTGTTTTAGTCATTAATACTTGAAGGTGGTAATAGCTCTTCTGCCACAAATGGTTGATCTTTGCTGGAATAAAGATTAATGATGTCAAGGTTTCATGTGGCCTTTGCCACCTGGTGCTTCAATGTATGGAAGTATCTCCACTTGTAGGCAGTCAGCAAAGATAGCTGCTATGGTTAAAGACATCTAGAAAGTATTTGGTTGGCAAGGTTGGTCCTCAGATCAGTTACATTTTTATTTTTTTCCCATTCTGTGATTCCCAAGACCAGGACAGTATGGATATTAGAGGTCTATAATATATGTAATATGTAATATATATATAAATTTTACATTTTATATTATGTATGGCATGTTGCTTAAGATTTTTAGGCATCCAGGTAGATTTGTCTGGAAGTTGAGTCATGACAACTGGACTTCTTTTGTTTTTGGTCTGACATATTTTGCTATTTAGAAGCTACTTGGATAAGCAGTGAAACAAAAGTCCAGTTGCCATGATTCAACTTCCAGACATCAAGTATAACATGGATATAAATTGTACATTTAATTTCAGCTCTTTTTATGACATTTTCTAGGTTCATACAATAACTTTCAGATTATTGCTGTTTTTTCTGCAAATGAGACAAAAATTTACCAGGTTCTTTTGATAAACACTTGTGAAGCCTAAAACACAAAGGCAAAACTACTGCTTGGTAATGCCTGCTGTGAACGTGATAACACTGCTGATTTAGTATATTCCTTAACATGTTTCTTTTCAGAAAAAGTGACATTAAAATTCAGTGTACAATACTATCCATTTATTAATTTGTTTATTGCTTTGCTTAGGATTTGAACATTTCAGATATGGTAACATAACTTTGCAGCTTTTCAGAGAAGATATGTCAAGTTATTTGCTAAAATGTAGTTATTGCTGTCTAAAAATTCAAGAATCATAAGTAGGAACCAGAAACACATTAAACAAAAAATAAAACTGAATGGATATCTTGCACTAAAAAAGAGAAAAATATCTATGATTTAGAAGTGACCCACAGACCATTAAGCAAACATTTTTTAATTTGTTGCTATTATATTTGTTTGTTTTCAGAAGACATTCTAGGAAATTTATATCTGAGGAACCAAAATAATTTCTCATATATGCATTGATATATGGGAAAAAGTGATAGAAATATTTTTAAAAATTATTTTTATGTCTGAAAAAGCTGAGCTATTATTTTAGCATCAAAATGTCATTTTTAATCATTAGGAATGGCAATTCCTAGATGCTGCCACTTATACATATTATTTCAGAAACTACTGAGGAGTTAGGTAAAGTATAGTGAATTCTGGATTCTTTAATGTAGATTTAAGCCTGTATAAAAAGTATACAGTATGACATCTGTAGCAATGCACAATTTCCTCCTTCCATCCTCTCAAGTTGGGAACAAAGAAAAAAAAAAGATGCTTGTTTTGGCTAATGAAAATGAAGTAGACTTTACCTCTGGCATTTAGAATGGTATTATTTTTTCTTTAAAATTAGATATTTTGGATTGAGATCAAATTGTTGAATATCGACAGCCTGATACATGAACCTAATTGAAGCTTTTGGATATAAAATAATTCATTGTAGCCAAAATTACTTTAATCTTAAATCTAAATCTAAGAGGTTCATATAAAATCACAGATTTTGCCAATTTCTCATATACCAC